AAATTTGGTCAGCAAACCACACAATGCATGCTATTTGTTGTCGAGAACTGGCGTCTGAACACCAACATTTTGAAATCAATGGGATCTCAAAGTAGTAGAAGTCTTTTCTCATTTCGATTCATTATAAAATATTACCAGGTACTCTGCTTATTTGCATGAACAATCAACCTGAATGGTGGCAGTAAAGCATTTGACAACTGTTTGACTAAACAATTACTGTGTACTAGAATAGTATTGATGGGTGGAGCAATATTCCTAAAAAGATATTGGGATCTCGTATAAACAAAGATGGCGACTTTGACTGTTGAGATCGAGTACAAACTGGTATGTTTCCAAGCTTTAATTCGTTATTTCTTAGGTGATTGGACAGTTTCGAAGGAGTCACCGGCGGTAATTAGTGCAAGTCGCGCCCAGGTCAAAACTCGTACTTGTGATTTCCATTAGAAGAGCGCATTGGATTGTGGGAAAATCAATGTTTATCAACACTAATGTCGCACATGCACAGCGCTACGACAACCAACACTTGTTTGGCGATCTTCAAAAAAAAAGACAAAGATGGTGGCCAAATTGCATGATTTGTGTGGATTATTTTGCATGTGCCTGAAGTAGTTCCAATGAAGATGTAACGTACAGATTTCAATCGGATCAGTAGCATCAGTAAACTTCCTGTTTGGAAGAAATCCAAGATGGATTCACGAGATTTACAAACTTCACTGACATTTATACATAAACTTGTTTTTTACTAGCATCTGTTATGATCAACGGTTCTGAAGAAGAAAACTTTTTTTTTATTTTTCAAAATAGTGATGCTACTATAAAACAGTTAATAGACATAGAACAGGGTAACCATGTTCACTTTTGGTTTAATTTCAATCCAAGATGGCGGTCAAACCATGGAACTGAATTAAATTATAGTATTTGTCTTGTAACAACTATAGCTGCACATGTTCTGTACAAAATATCAGTTGAAGTACACATGAGGAACAAAGATTGGTAATTTTTGCCAATGGTCAAAATCATGTAAATTGTATTTGACATATTTCTGAGAGAAAATATTGCGGAAAAGTCACGTGTTGTTTTATTGCTTATATCTGTTGTAGCAACTTTCGGTTTAAAGGGCGGTAATCTTTGCGCCGCGCATGTGCGACGTTTGTGTTGATAAACATTGATCGTCCCATAATCCAATGCATTTTTCTAATCACGAGTTCGAAAAAACGGATTATTTAATAAGTTCTTGGAATAACAAATACAATAAAAATCATTGCGTCAATTGGTTCCAAAATACAAAAAACTGTAAGACATACTTCCATGTCCAAGCTCATAACAGAACTTCAATGCATGTTCCACGATAATACGTTTTCCTGCTATATTATCATCACAATACTACATTATCACACATTTCGTGCATAAATTAAATAAACGTGGACAAAATAATTCCATTTTGAAAAAATAACGTAACCTTCATTAATGACTCACAAGATGCAAAGGATGTGTTTAAATGCATTATATAAACATTTATTATGCACAACGTTACACAACGTACACACACATAAAATCAACATTAAACAAAATGTTGGCCATACCAGCTGAGAACGTAACGTTCTCACCAAATAATATTAAATAATAAAGAGTACAGAATAATATAAATCAGTATAATAAACCATCAGTCCGAATTGGAAATATCGAATGATGTTTGTTTGTGTAACAATGTCGCGTTACTGCATTCTCTTTTCAACGTTTCACTGTCCCAGGCGTAGACTTGTGGCAACGCAGTTAACAGGTCGTGCTTTTATGGAGTAACTATGCAAATTAGTCACGTGTCCATGTAGTAATTTCGTTATTCTCAAGGTAAATTAGGAAAATGGGCCACCTTCGTAGTCTGAAGCTCAAACTAAAAAAAAACTGAATTGATGCGCCAGTGCTAAAGCTTTATTCTGTGTTGTTGTTTTGTTTTCAGAAATTTAGCAACAAATCAAGATGTCATTTCTCTATTGTCTGCCAACATTTGTCGGAATACCCAATCATCGGACAGATTTTTAAATTGGTCAATGTGGTGTGGTGTATCCACCCATACGGCCACATGACACACCGCATCACTCATAAAAAATAACTTTCATACACCAACAAATTTCAGGTCGAGACCATGGCGTCATATTCTCATCGTCATGGCATAAACTAGATGCAATAGATTTTACAATGAATGTGATATATCTGTTGAATATCTTTCCGCTGAAAAATTCTCAATTTCAAGGTATAGTTTTCTTTAATACAATGACTCGACATTCAGGATTATAGCACCTTAAAACAGTATAAAGTTTTTGCCAGGTATACTAAAACACTTCCTGACACACTGAATTATTGCGACACTGTGGCAGTGTTCATATTCAATCAGACTGAATGAACACAGTCTAACTGAGCGTCATTAAGATGAACATACATGAAGAGTAGGGTTCATACAATTACAATCACAACTCACTGTTACCATGGCATTACCGAATAATAGATTCAAAACGTTAAAATAGTGAAACAAGTGAGCTTTTACCATGACTATGTATATGCAGTATTGTTCTACTCGTATACACTCATCCTAGAAATTATTATTTGATAAACACAACTAAGTATGCACACTAATACGAAACTTATATACAATTTTTACACGCATCTGATTAACTAAATAAAGTTGTGTTTCGTTTCATATATACCAGAAGTTCAGGTATTTCATTTGAAACCTACACTGACAGTTAAATGCTTTTCTTGAACGCATATTACTATCTAAAGTTCAAGGATTTCACATGGGTCTCATGAATTTCACTTGAATTTTAATTTAAACCAACATACAGTCCGGAATTCATGGATTTTACTTGAAATTAATTTTCTCTTCCAGATTTGATCTCAATTAAAGCGTATTACGGCCAATATTTCATAAATTCTACTTGAAGCTATCTTTAATTTAAAAACATATATAACCCAGATTTCATAGTTTCTGATTGGAAATCTTTTTTTCAACAAAAATTTTCAGGAATTGACCAATTCATGTCGAGAGTTGATTGATTTCACCCGAAACTGCCTTACTTAATGGCATGAAAACTTGTAGAATTTTGTTTGGAAGCTGGAATATTAAATCCATTATTGTTGAGGTCATTGCAATAAGCGGCTGCGTTATTTTTCAGTGTCGTGGCGTTCCTACGTTCTTCGTAATCGATTATAAATCTATCTTCGTCTACACACTCAGATCGCATCTTCTGTAACATATCTCGAAATGTAGCCAAGTCTTTATGAAAGTTATCACCGTATGCCTCTACCTTACGCCAGAATGGTTTATTGAAGTGTTGGTATAGTTTGTAATCTGCCTTATTTATTTCCAATATTCGCTGACGTTTCCAGTTATCGATGTCAAAACGTAGTTTGTTGTTTCTTTTGTTTTGTTGCAAATACAAAATATCTTCAAAGTCCCAACACAGGAGTTTCTTCAACAAAACAAGTGATTCGTCAAAATAATCAGCAATCAACACTAAATCAAACTCTTCTGAAGCTTTCTGAATTACGTTATCCACAAGTGTTTCATTGTTATGATTTTTCAGGTCAAGTCCAACATCAAATATTTGTCTATTTTTTAGTAATGTCTTGTGGTAAGAATCGTTAATGCGCTTAGAATAGATCGCTGTGTTTGACAAAAACATGTGAAATGGATCTTGACTGGTGTTCTGCTCAATATTGAGATAATTAGCAATTTTCATGAAACCGAAAATTGACTCGTAATTAGCCACGGGATGACGTAGTATTGTTATGAAGGTGGCGTTTCGAATTACTCTGTCAATAGCTGTTTTATTGAATGGTACGTGACTGACTAACATATTATATTGTGTCCCTGGAAGAGGTGGCAACAAATGTTTCGCCATTTCGTCGTTAAACCGTACTGCTCTCGAAAACCATCCCGGATTGTGGTGCGATGGTAATACAAAAGATAAATTGTGACGTAATCCATGACGTATAAGTATTGACGACACTGTAGAACTGGCTGTCTTGTATGTCTTTAAGAACACCACATTCGTCAACGGAAGATAACATGGAGGTGCCGACGCCCTAATAGTGGAGATAATTGATGATAACCTGTGTAAAACAACAAATAGGTTAATTCTGATACAAACAATTACCAGATCCGGAGTAAAAAAATCATATGCTCTAGTTTATTTTTACCAACCTTTCTATCCATTCAAACATAGGCCATGACGGAATAAGTACCAATTTTGTTTTAACATTTTAAGTGATAGCAAATATTTTCAGAACTTTTCGTGAATGTGCTTGCTGGATTATTTGTGCGTCATTGAATTAGTTCCATACACAATTTACAGTTTGTACATTTGTAAATATCAGACTGTCGCAAAAATTTCTTTACAATTGCATGACTGGTTTCACCAAATTTGCTAATAAAACGTCATTTTTGATTACAGATCATACACTGAATTTGTTAATATTCCATCGTTAGTGCACGTATTCCAAACTGATGACATCATTTTCTGACTACCACATTCAGCGGATTTAGTCTAGCGCATATCAACATTGGCGGGTTTGATTGTATATTCTAAATTTGGATTATGTTTAATGGCATAACTTGAGGGTAAAATCTCGCGTATTTTAAGTGTGAATATGCAAAAACGTCGATAATGGATTTAATGTTCTGCTAAATATATATATGTTGCTTCCAGGGCAACGTTACTACAGATAGTTTAGTGAAAATTGGAAACAACATAGAAAATTGTCTTGTCATGCCTTGTGCGAAATGTAAACAAAATCTGTTGAAGTACGCACAAGAAAACACACACGAAAATTGTTGCCATCTTCGATTGTAATCGCGACACTAACCATACGTGATATTAATACTAAATTTATCTGAATGATAGGAAATAGGATATATGTAAAATTATTCAGGTGATGTTATGAGTTTCTTCTGAATATAGTTATTTATGTAGTCAATATTCAATTAGAAGAATAAATTAAATATGTGCATGATTAATGACCATTAATTGATTTATCCAAATCTCCTTATACATGTAGTCAATATCCAATTAATAGTAATTATTATACATCTGTCACCGTAAAGCCATAAGTTACAGCGTGCCGTAATTTTACGGTATTTTACGGGGTATTTTCATCCTACCATATAAGGAAATGCGAATTCTAAATATGGAATGATTACGCTCGTAAGCGCCCTCTAATAATAAAAACAAACGTGGCTGCCACCAGGGTTTGACCGGACTCCACACAAGCAAGTTTGCTGATTCTGTTCTAAACTTTTTCGATTTCGGCATTCCATGATGTATCATTGAAAGGAAAAGATGTATAATAATAATAATAATAATACTAAGATTATTACGAGGAGACCTCAAAGTAGGCACTCAGATAATACATCGTCGCATCGACCTCCGCCGCGCGTCAGTACAGTCATGACGACTTTTCAACCTGTGATTGGTGTGGGCAATTTAATAATTAACTTTGGCCAATTCAGCAAAACAACAGTAAACATTATACTGTTATCTGTTATACTGTAATTTAGGTCAATGAAGCATGTGCAGCGTTTGTTTGTGGCTTGGTATTTCGTACTGATGCGAGTACACTTTTGATGCTGTACGACAAAGATCTGGTCAAAATTTCTCCGAACAATTCGCTCAGCAAAACTCCGACGAAATCCGTGAGTAAATACAGAATTTCCCGCCATGAATTGCGATTGCGATTTCATGACGCCATACTATGATGTCGGTCACTTTGATAGGTCACAGGAGAATTTCTCACAGGTCACAGTTGCGAGTGATGGCATCTTGTAAACGCATTGCAGCATTTTAATTGAAAAAAAATTATTAAGCCAGAGGGACTGTCGACAGTCTATAACTCACGAATATTTGTGTTGGTCAATTATTTATAAAAAAAGTGAACACATTCAAACTCTAATTGTAGCTCGGCGTGATTCTTGGCAGATTATGAAAAAAATATAATGTTTCTCAATTATGCTTTGTGCTGTGTATTTGTTATTATTATACATCTGTCACCTTGTCTTAATGTTCCGCTATTGCACTGGGTATTTACATTCCCCTATATTATGAAATTCCAAATATGGAACGATTACGAGCGTAAGCGTCGTCTAATAATAAAAATAAACATGGCAGCCCCCAGCGCAGATTTTGATCGGACCCCACACAATGAAGTTCGCTAAATCTGTTCTGAGTTTTTTGAATTCCGACATTCCCCTGATGTATCCTTGCGCGTCGGTCGATACTACCGCTGTACTGTCTTCGTGCATACTTTTCGGCATCCTCGTAATAACCTCATATTCCAAGAATTATTATTGTCAAGAAGAAGCCCTCCGTTATTAGATGGTTCTCGTTCTTGTCTCACAATTGGGAGAAAAAGTATATGTTAACTACCTATTTCCCACCACTGTTTGTTAACAAGCAATTGTACAGTCTCATTTACATAGTTTTATCAATTTCTAGCAGTGTGAGAAACGTAAACTATGTTAACTACTAAATTAATTATAGTGAGCAATATTATAATTTATAACAATTTTACAGGTTTACAGTCATATCAACTACACCTGAATGTGAGTGTTCAAATTATGCATTTTCAATCAACTTGTATCGGCGGGCTCTTCTGCCTACAAAGTCATGCATTCTGTTTTATCATCATTCAATGGGTTTGTGTTTTGTACGTTGTTTGTTATATGTAAACTATATTTATACTATGTCTTCGAGAAGCTGACAAGTATTATTTCATGTGCTTGAATATAGTGCAATTTTAGTATGTAAATTTGGTACATTCACTAATGTACACAATTGTTATTAGCAATATAAATATCTGAGACACGAGTATTCATCACTATTGTTTCATCAAATTGAAAAAAAAAAGCAAAATGAAATGTATCACTTACCTGCCATGTGTCACGTTTGTACTAAGAGTAAATGAAATCAGACCAAGAACTCGTTGATGACGTATTGGAACAATTGTTGGCAAACATTCGTTGAACAAACAAGGCAAATAGACACACATAGCTTCAGTCGGCCATTTTCGACCGAATCGCAATACAAACAGACATGCTTCATTATTTTTGGTTTGCATCACAGCATACACCGAGGAAGACAACTCACCTCACATATCGTTTCTAATCAATCTGTTCTGTGTTTCTGAAAAAGGCTTTCAAGTGCTTTTTGCTGTGGTTGGGGCAGTCGCGTTTTTTATTCGTATATTAGGTAGCCAATGTTCCAATAAAGCCAAAAAAACTATATGAATACCTATACTCACAAAAAAGGATTGTTGGTACTATTCCACCCAGTCATTTGCTCAAACAAGCCAACAACAAATATACCGGAAGATGTGGTAGAAAAAATTAGATTGATAATAATAAGACTTCAAGCCTAAAATACCTGAGCCCCTACAAAATACAGAAAGCAAAAACAACCAACCAATCAAACAAAAAAAATGTAACACACTTAGGGACGACGTCAAAAGACCGATGTCGGATTAAAAACTTATTTGCTTTAGTTTGGGGGTGGAGCGTTTGACCTCAAAAAGTTTCCATCCTACAAAAACGATTTTATTTTTTAACGAAGCCAAAAAACTTGGAGTATTTGCAGTTCGTTTTTTTTTATATCCAATCATAGACAAAATAACAGAAAATGAAAAAAAACACATCCAAGACGGGAAATGCGTCAAATGAGGTCTGTT